TTACTAACGACATACATATATGGGGTTCTTCTATGGCAAAGAATTCGTATGAAAAACTTACCGTCCCATATTCGGGATCCTAGTATACGATGATACGTTACATACTAGTCAATTTATATGGTACGATATTTGTACCATAGTATGTGGTACCCTTTAATGAAAAGGGTTAATCAGGAATGACGTAATATTAATTTATTTGTTTTCGTTTAATCAAAAATATTTCTTATTGTCCAATAAGTTCGAAATTAAAATACACATGTATATACGAATATATATATATGTGATCGTAACCTCGACTGTATTCTGGCAGAGAAGAAGATACCACTGTCATCTGTCAACGACGTGGCACGTCTACGGATTACGTAAAATTCGTGTCGCATGAGCTCGCTCGAGCACACACCTTTTTGAAGGATGGCGTTTTAGAAAATAACCCACACTAAGATCGTGTCATTGTGTGGAAATAATTGAGTATCTCGGAATAACCGTAATAAAAACCCTGTCTCGTATAAAATAGGGATGTAAATTCATCGGAGTATTGTCAAACGCGTCGTACGTGTGCATGATCGAGATCATCGACTATTGCAAAACACAATTAAACGTTTTTAACAGGTGCATAATAATAATAATAATAATAATAATAATAATAATAATAATAATATGTGTGTTTGTTAATACAAACAGCGTTTTACTACACACACAGCTGCCAAATAATACAAATAAATAATAGTTGCTATATAATTTTCTTTCTTATTTTCTTTTTTTTTAATAGATCATTAAAGAGAAAATAAAGTATCACATTTTTTACTGCATATAATATCACGAAGCATTTTACCGAAAGCTTTATATGTCTCTTTAAAATTTATTATTGTTTAACACTTATATTGTAACATCGTCGTAGAATACAACAGGTGTACGGAAAAAGACACGATGATAATCGAAGATAAATTTGAGTTTAGATTGGTTTTTACGATATCGTCAAGTAATATTTATGAATGAGATCAAATTTTTAATTTCTTGAAAAAGAAAATAAATTAAATCTAAAATAAAAATAAAAATAATATAATAAAGAACGACCAAAGTATTGAAAATGAATACATCAGTCGGGTTGAAAGGTTGTAAAGCATAATATAGAAATAATTTCTTTCAATCACAAACCTATCCCCCTTTTATATTTTCAAGATAAAAATACAAATTGTTTTCTTTTCTTTTCCCTTTTTTTTTTTTTTTTTTTTTATCGAAACTCAAACCTTTTCAATCCACCTCCTTATTTTCCGTATGATTTAAAATACGACTTGGGATATCGTCGGAAAATATTTATGAATATAATATCAATTTCTACGAAGTGAAATAAAGTCAAAATAATGTTTTACCCTTGGAAAATGGGTGTCGAGAGTGCAAATGAGAAAGAAAGATAGAAATAAGGATATAAGGAAGAAATAAGAATATAAAAAAAAAAGAAAAGAAAAGGAAACAGTGAAATAAGACGAAGTTACTACTACTAGGCAAGATTTTCCTTCCTTGAGGAAATGTTACTTGCACCATGCTGCTGCTGCTGCAACTGCAACTGCAACCAAGTTGGTTGCGCACCTGTTAGCTCGTAACACTTCTCCTTCTTTCTCTCTATCTTTCTATCTTTCTATCTTTCTATATATTTGACTTCGCATTTGTAAGCGTTAGCAACGAATACTATCAGTATATATATATATATTAAATATATTTCTTATAGAACAATAAGTTTCTTATTCTGCATTTTATTTATATTTTCGATAACTCGAACTTAATACTTAGACTTTCATTTTAAAAGAATATCAAACAAACTACTCTAAGATTTATGGAAGTAACGAATTTAGAGTATTATCAAATTGATTCTTCAATCGATAATCCTTTTCTATTATTATTTGTATTTTTATCTCTTTTTATCTCGTCGTCTTTTTATGGAATTTTAATTCGACGATTTAAATTAATTAAATTACCTGACACAAAATATCTTGCGATATTTTTATTCTTTTTCTTTTTCTACTTTCATTTAATCAACTTGATCATCAATTATTATCTACGATATTAATAATTATTATTCAATCTTTTAAATAAATTGTTGTACATATAATTATAAATAGAGTTGCAGTAATATTACGTCAGGGATTGTATAATATATCGATACAGTGTAGTACGCACACGATTATTGATATTTTATTATAAATTATATTATCAATTAATAATATATTTATAGTAAAAATAACGATTCAAGTAAAACCAGTGTAATTTATTCTTTTAAAAAAACCTTTCTTTTTTTTTTTTCTTAAAGTGTTCCTCATTCTTCTCCTCCTCGGTTGTTGAGGAATTGAAATTTTTAATTCCTTCTTCCTCTACTACGATATTATAAATTTACATAAAACGAATATTTTCTCTTATATTTATTTTTTTATTATTTTCATTTTTTTTTTCTTCTTTTCACGTCGAGAGAAAAATATTTCTACGAACAAATTTTTATTTTACCAATCTACCCCGAGCTAACGAATTTACATTTAACATTCAAGGATAATTTTTTTTTTGTTCTTTTTGTGCTTTTCGAAGAAGAGAGTGAGAGAAAAAGAGTTAAGTTCTTTTCTTTTCCATTTTTCTTTAGCTACTACTACTAGTACTACCAACAGAAGCGACACACACGTTCGTTCGAGAAATTTTCTATCCTCAACACGGCGGCAACGAAGGAATTACGGTAATGCGAGAGAAGACTGAAAGAGAGGAGGAAAGGTGTGCTGCTATGCTACTCGCGAACTAGAGGTTTCCTCCTCTCTCTTTTTAGCGATAGGAAAAGCCACGGAAAAAGGAGAAAAAAGGAAAAAAAAAAAAAAAACAAGAAAACAGCTAACGCTCGCGAACGTGGTTGGTTGGGCCAGCACTCGAATATGGTAGCGGTACGGCAAAGTGGTCGTCAAATTATAGCCATGCACTCTGGGAACGTTTACGATGTCGTTGGAAGTATATCCTCCTTTGGTATATACTATACACATACATATATATAATATATATATAAATTTATAGAAAACGATGGACTCTACAGCATCCTATCGATAGACAGAATATATATATATATATGTGTGTATGTATGTATTAATTTATTATACTCTAACCCCCCAAACCTCACATTTCATTTCTAATCTCTACGATAAATATTTTGTTTAACTTCTAATTTATTCATAATTTTTTCCATCAATTTTTGAATCAACGTCCATCGTTTTATCAGACATAACAATATTATTATGAATTAAAAAAAAAATTTATATAAATAATAATTCAATTAAATATATATAATTAATTAACTAAATATATATAATTTAATAATATTACTTTATAATAATTATTATAATAATAATTAAAATTAAATTTATTTATATATAAATAAATTTTTCTACCGTAAATTAATATATTTTTAATTCAACCTAGAAGTTATTTTATACTTTTTATACATTTAACTTCAAAATTAATGACTTCATTTCTCTTTTTTCCTTTAAATAATTTCTATAACTAAAACTGTTATTATAAAAAATACTTAACAACTAGAAGAAAATAAAAGTATAATAAATTATTATAAAAATAAATAGACAATTTAAATTGTCAATTTCTAACAAGATATTTAATAGTTCCATTAAGAGACAGTCCGTAACAGTCGGGATAATATATTTCAAAGTTTGGCCAGTATCCTAATTTCATGTCTTGGCAAAATTTATAACTAAAGGAAACATTGATAGCGCGTGGCAATGCATTTGATACTACTTCGAACTGCACAAACAATGACTTCGATACCTTTCGATGAAGAATACCTTCTGATAATGCATTTGATAATAGATAAGATAGAATTGGAGGACAAGAGTGTATCATAGTTTCTAAAGATACTTTTAAGTATGTATTAGAACTATGATAAGTTTCATAGTCAACTTCCTAGTTCATATCTTGGAAAATATCCTATTAAACCAAACTAGTAAGTACCAACTCGTAAAAGACATTCTTAAGGATTCAAAACTTTTCTTCCCCAAAAATTTTACGAGTAATCTCATTCCAATTATTATTTCGAATAAATTAATCCCCCCACCCCCCTATTATAATAACTCGTATACTTTATTATTGTTTTAACTATTTTACGAAACGTTTATATATATATATATATACGATAACAATTTATTATTCTTAGATATATTTAGGTATGTATATTTCGAAACTCTCATAATATTTCTTTCTATAATTCAAACAAAAAACAAAAAAAAAATCATAAACTTAATTAGAAATCGTAAGATGTAAGAGATAAGGTCGTTCTTGTAAGGCCATGTGAAACGAGAGAACAGACAGATAGATAGACAGACAGACAGACGTTTCAATGGAAAAGTTATCGTTCTAATCAAACGTAAGAGTATCGATCGATTCGTTTGATCCAATTATTGTTCTCTCGTTACATATGTTTATAGGTTTCTAATATATCGTTCGTATTCACACACACCACATATATTTATCCTGTGTTTTATATTATATACATATACACATATAAATGTATATGTATATATGTATATAAAACACATGACACGTAGATCAAATACATCGGAGGATCTATTTCTAACGAAACAAATATTCTTTCAAGAAGATGCAACCAAAGATGCTTGCTTCTGGCAAGTGAACTCAACGACGTTGCAGGGATCATAAAACAGTTAAAACATAAATAAACAAAATGGCCTACGAGTAGGTTAACTTTACTGTCCAATAGCACGTAAGTTCTCGTCGTATAATATTTCAAGAAATAAGGAAGAAAAAAAAACACGCACACAAAGGGTAGCAAATTCGAGGAACATTAATCAGATTATTGGATTGACCAAGTAGAAAAAAAAAAAAAAAGACAAAACAAGAATGGTAGGGATAAGTAGAACAAAATGGGTGAAATGTTTGATAGGAAAGAAAAGAGAGAAACGGAAGGGGGGAGGAGGTTGAGGGGAAGAGATAAAGAGAAGCCGTACCTTTCGTGGTTCCGGAGCATAAATTCCAGGCAAGGGTGCCAATAGATGCAATCCGGGATTGGGTAGACCGGATGCCGGATGTCCTGGTGGTATCGGTAGAGGCACCAGCTTCAGGCCCCAAGGTAAATACCACGGCGCCGTATGGTGCATTCTGCTTCTTCAGAAGACTTTTGTGGGTCTTGTCAGATTGCGTTGACGTTATTTGCCAGGATGGATCCAGCGGATCCACCAAACGTGGACGACGACTATCGTATCCCGTGCGATCCTTAAATCGCGAGAAAGAGTTCTCGACAGGTCGCAGTGAATGACGATGGTGATGATGATGATGATGATGATGATGATGATTGTGATGATAAGATAATGATGACGATGACAATAACAATGAAGAAGAAGAAGAAAAAAAATACACTAGGATAATCTAAATGTACAAATATATATATATATATATGTGTGTGTGTGTGTGTGTATGTATGTACGTGAATATGTATATTAAAAAGAAGAAAAATAGAAAAAAAATAACGAATTAATAATTAGATGAACAGAGGAAAAGGATAAAAAAAAAAAGGAGAAGAATGATCACCTTGGCATTTTCCGTCGACGATATAGAAATGTAGATTTATATGTGTGTATGTGTTTGATGATCTCTTATCTTATTACTTTGATCTCCTTGATCATAACTTTGAACTGGGACATGAGAAAAACGTCACAGAACGCGTAACACGATAATATTCGATAGATCGTACTTGATCCTCCTCCTCATCCTGTGATTTAGGCAAATCTAACACCGATGTAACTTTTTATTATTTTATTTAGTAAATTTGTTCTTAAATGTTATTGGTAATTGTAACTCGTTAATCGATGTAATAACGTCTCTCTTTAAAAAGAGAGAGACAGAGAGAAGGGGGTGTGTAAAAACAAAAGAAAAGGAACTCGTCCAGAAAAAACCCCCTAAACAACAACAAAAAAAACACAACGGTGACGGATACAAACTGGCACGACGAACTCCCCGCGAAAGCGCGGCGACGACTGATCGACGATCGAGCGTCTACGCTCGAGCACATGGCAGCGCGCGCGAGCGCGAACCAACCCCCACCCCCACCTCCCCACTACCAACACCGACAGCCCCTTTCATCATCCTACACCACTGAGATTTTCTATCTGTCTTTTTCAGTATCATTACGAACACGCTAGACACAATGTCCCACATCTTCTCTTCGTCATCATAATAAATTCACATTTTTATCCTTATATTTGATTCTTAATTTTTAACAGATTGATATTCCCTCCCCCTCCTCCTACCTCTCCTATTTTTTAAATATTTTCTTACTTTAAATTCATTCTCGCAATGTGTGATTAAATATTTGCTATTATTTACAACATATCAGGGGATTTTCATTTCATTTATTAATCTTTTGTAGATAATAATAATAATAATAATATTGTTTGTTAATGATTTTTTTTTTGCAATGCGATAAATGTTCGTTATCGGTACGTGAACATTGATACAATATCAAATTATTTAAGTGGAAGTATTTCTTAGTAATAAGTAAAATACTATCAAACTAGTACAATGATTAAGTTAAATCGGATGACATCATGAATATTGCGATTGACAAATGAGGTAACGTATTGAAATATTCCTACCAAACTGAAACGTCTCAACTGTTATAGATAATTCAAACGGTTGAATGTTTAAATACGATTGGAGAATGTTCAAAATTTAATCGAGGAAGATTTGCCAAAGTCTGAGGAGTTTGAATCGAGAAAGAGGAAAAGAGGAAAATCGTTTGAGAGATATTTTATAAAAATATTATTGAGGATTTGATGGTATTGTCTTTAAAGAATAAACTATTGTGACCCAGTTGAAAACAAAATAACAAAAAAAGAAAAGAAAAATCAGTAGATCCAATTCCACTTTATTTTCCAAAGTGAGGAGAAGGAGCTTTTGTGTTTTAATGGAGAGAATTCTACTCTCTCTTTCTCTCTCTCTCTCTCTCTCTTTTTGGGAGCTATTTGCTCTATGTCATATTTCTATGCCGTTAGGTGAAAGAGGATTTGTGCTTTCATAGACACGATCCATCTACCACCTTGACAGTTTAAGAGAGAAAAAGAGACAAAAAGTTACCGGCACCAGTTGTATCTTAATGAGCTATAATATAATAATTGAAAGAGGAAGTTAGATTTGTCTTATCCAACTTACTCCTTTGCTAAAGTTCTAACAATAAATTGAAATAAATCTTTTGAATTCTCTTCTAATGATAGTCTTAAATTAAATAAATAAATATATACATATAAATATATATATAGAAATATTTTAATAAGAGAAACGATACAGCATCAAAGAACAAAAATTAAGAAAAAAAATAAAAAGAAAAAACCGAAAAATATCCTCGTGCTAAACTGTGCAAAATTGTTTCGGTGTAAATAATTTAGTTGAAAAAAGTAAATTAAGAAAAAAATATCTTTGAAATACTCTTTTTCTATAGTAGAAACTCTTTTTCATTTAAAATGCAACTCTCAAAAGGAAAAAGAGAAAAAAATAAATAAATAAATAAGAGTTCCAAAAGGAAAGGAAGAAACTACTGCATTTTTTCGGGATAGGTGCTTAACTCGACAACGTCAAAGAAGATCGACATCAAAACAATATACATACCTACGTGTTTAATATTTTTAAAAGAACAACATTATATATTCAAGATCAGACAAAAAGAGAGAAAAAGAAACTCGAAGTGTTCACCTATAAATCCGTAAAATGCCGTCATGCGAAGATCGTTAAGAAAAATATTTCCACGTTTGTCTCTATGTGTACGTGTTTATTATGTATGTATGTGTAGTATACGTGTGTGTTTCGATGCAATGAGGTAAGACCACGATGAAAGAAACTGCAAAGGTACTCGTAAGTGCAGCTGCAAGTTGTGGATGACGTTGGTCATCTCCCCGACGTCATTACCCGGACTTAAATTCTAACATAAGTCAACCAAACCAACGTGTGTGTTTGTTCCTCTCTCTCTCTCTCTCTCTCTCTNCTCTCTCTCTCTCTCTCTCTCTCTCTCTCTCTCTCTCTCTCTCTTCTCCTCTCTTCTAATGACATTTCCCTTTCTCTCTTTCATTTCTTGAGACCAAACTACACACCTGAATTCAAACCAAGATTTTCTCACGAGACTCGAGGCGCTTCGAAGCTCGTGCGAAAAGTTCTCATGTAAAAATAACGTTCTATCAGCTAGCACCTAAACCCCCCACCTCACCCCACCCTCCATCTTACCTGGTTTTGACAGTATATATCATCAACCACATGTTAAACTGCACCGTCTTGGCAAAAGATTTTGACAAAATTTGACGCAAATTTTAGTCTGCTTAACTTGGGTCAACGTATGAACTTTGCTTTTTACTTTTACACGACTGTGTACTTACTCCTCTCTTGTATTTTTTTTTTTTTTTAATTTTTTTTATTGAAAAGTCAACTAATTAATTGATTGTCAGGTAGATAAATTTTTTTGAAGATAATTCATCAAATATTAATACGACTAATCAAAGTATTGATATAAGTATAGCAACGAGTCATCAAACATTTATATGTATATATATGTGTCTTCTTTATGTACTTTATATTTACATTTACCTATCCGCGAACTAAAACTGGATCACTGGATCACTGAACATTCGAAATAAAGCGAGTAAGAATTCTTTTATTAAAATGGATCTCACTCAATAGAAGAATTTCTTTGAACGTAAATGGAAACTATTTTTGTTGATGTATTATTCAAGGATCATAAAGAGAGTACCGTTCTTCTATTTAAACAATAAAAATACAAAATCTCAAAGTGATAATCGTTAATAGAAATTATTATTTGGAAAAAAATTTTTCAAGAACTTTGTTGAATGTTGTTTATGCGTAATTTGAGAAAATCAATTTCTATATTCATTTTGATGATTAAACGTACGGTGTAACATTTATTACCAGATGATTATCATAACGTAATTAACATTAACACATCATCCAAAGTTAAATTCTAGGAAAAATCATTAATAAGCGAAACTCTCTCTCTCTCTCTCTCTCTCTCTCTCTCTCTCTTCTTCTAACTTTAGAGAGAATATTCATAAGATTGATCGTTTAAAAATCTTGCTGGCATAATCTGACGTCATATTCGACATCTGCCACAATACTGAGAATCCCATCGCCATCATCGTCGTCATAGTTATCGGTAGTGATGGTGATGGTGATGGTGGTGGTGGTAATAGAGGATACCGAGTGGGGAGGTAGATTGATGAAAATAGGAAATTCTAACCAGCTCGACGATAAATCGTCCTCGTTGGTTTGAGTTATAAGAAGGATTAAAAATTGCGCCGCAGGGAAGGTGGCTTAACGGAAATGCAACGTTCACAAGTAAAGGGGCTCAGCTTTAAACGCGATTCAGATTTTGGGATCCTTTTACCATAAAGAGAAATAAAAAAAAGAAAAAAAAGAGAGAGAGAGAGAGAGATAGAATTGGGGATAACGAACATTGAATAATATCCCAAGGCTTCATAGATGATTCGGCATTTTCAGCTTCATCTTTACTACGAACGTGTTCTCATTGATTTATTTTATTTTATTTGTTTTTCCCTATCCTCTACCACCACCACCACCACCACCACTCTTATTCCCATGTTTATCCCTTCCCATTCTTCATATTCCTTATGACAGGAATAAATCCTATAATTGGTCGTGAAAAAGTCAAAGTCATAGAATAAAGGTAATGCAAAGAGGTAAAGATAAAAGAAAAAAAATAAATTAGAAAAAAAATCTTCTTAGAGGATTGGATGAGTGAGTGAGGAGGAGGTGATGGAGAAGGAGGAAGCTTTATACGCGTTTTATTCAACGAAGCGAAGCAATAATTGAACGAGGTGTCAGTGAAGCGTATCCAGGAACATTGGTGCAAAGAGAAAGACGACAAAGCCCTTCAATAAATAGGACAACATATAAAGCAGCAGCAGCAGCATCAGGAGTATGCAGTTACATCGGTTTACCCGTAAATCTACAACACTACCATACACACCAAGTCTCGATGAATTCACCGATAGATTTTAATTAAATTTCCGCGGGACACTATCCTCTCGTTGTAACCGTTGGCTCTTATTCTCACGATCGAACTTTTCGCGAAATTCTAAACGTAAAACTGGATATTACACGCATATCTATAAACAGGTATATTTATATATATGTAGTTATAGTTATACAATATACATTAAAGATAGATAGAT